CCCCAAAACCCCAAAACCCCAAAACCCCGCAAGTGTAAATTTGATAAAAATATGATGATAAATTGATTAAGTAAATTCAAAATAAATTTAAAATGAGAGCTTAAAGTAATATACACTCGAGAACTGCGAGTAATAGCTCAAATAGAAAATAATAGTAACTAACAAAGACTCAGAATAACAGGAACAAATAAAAGATATTGAGTGATTATGATGATCTTATCAGACTAAATAATTCCATTATCAAGATTCAAGCATTCGTAAGAATGATTGTTACGAGAAAAAGACTGAGAGATAGATTATATAAGTTAAGTTCAAAATCAAAATAAACTATCACACCTTATGAATTAAATGAACAAAATGTCAAAATTTTCCAAATGACTTTGAAAAATAGAAATATGACACCTGAAGAGTTCTTTAGAAGTCTAGATACAAAATAAAATAAGAAAATTGCAACTGAAGATTTCAAATCGGCCCTCGTTGATAAAAAGATCTATTTAAATTATACTCATGCCTCTAGATTTGCTGCTCTTGTTGATGAAGATTTTTCAGGAGATATAACCTTGCAAGAGCTATAAAAAACAATGAAGGCATTTGGTTATGATTGTGAACTCCAAGATGGATAGGAGATTACAGTTGAGTAGTATGCTTTGATTAAAGTGATCGAAAGTCTGCTCGACAGGAATATAACAGCTATAGAAATTTTTAATGCTATTGATGTTGATGCTAATGAATAAATTTCCATCATTGAAATTTCTAAGTTTTTAAAGAAAGTCATTAATCTTGAGACTGATATTGATGATGGAAATTATTACGAAAATCCAAATAAAAAGGTATAAGACAAAGAGATAATGATTTTTATGAATTATATGGATTTGGATCATAATAATACTATAAGTAAAGCTGAGTTTCTATTTTAATTTAGTAAATTAGAAAAATTGGCTTTAAGATATTAGGCAGCTTATTAGCGCTTTAAAACTCAGTTAAACTCCATTGATAGAAAATATACTTAAAATAGTACTATTAATGCTAAGAGATTAAATGATTTGAAAATTACAATTATCAAAATGTAACGAGAAGGAATTATATTTGAATAGTTTATTGGACATTTGAAAACTCTCTCTGAGGATAATTATCAGAATGTTAGATTAGGTATTCTATTGAAGCAATTTCAAATTTGTTACCCTTCTATATCTGTTGATAAAATCAGATAGCTTTTGTAATGGCTGTAGATTACTTAGGGAAAATATAATATTCTAGAGCTATAGATATTCTTAAATAGACATATGGATGAAAGTATTAAATCTAATTCTACCTATTAGTGCTATGATGTTTTAAACTAGCTTTTATAAACTAACTAGATAACACCAGAGGCTTTTGTAAAATCTAGCTTTAGCTTATAAGGATCAGAGAGAATCGGCTACGAAACTTTTAATTTTACAATGCAAAAAACATTGTAGATACCCTAGGAATGTATAATCGATATTTTTAATAGCCTTATCATTGATGCAAATCAAGTCGAAGTAAGAAGGTCTGATTTGCTAATGGTTTTAAATTCATATTACTATGATTCTGATAAAATATCAATGATGAACATACAAATGTTTATTCCTAACTTCGAAGGTCTAAATAGTTCAAGAAGGAAGGCAAAGATCATTTAGATTATAATTAAAAAAATGCTAGATAGTAAGTTATTGCCAATTACTATCTTTAAGATTGGTACCAGCCCAGCATCTACAGCAAATACTATAACAAATACTTAAATCTAGCAAGCTTTTGAAAAGCTTTAGCCTATTTATTCAAAAGAATTAATTGAGTATGCTTTTCTAACTGAATATTCTAAAGATTAATTTTTGGAATTATTAAAGCCAGATTAAGTCATAGTTAAAGAAGCAAGGAAGGTTGGGGTTAACTAGACTAGATAAAATTATTTAAAAATTTTAGATGATTTTTTGCTATAAGCTAGAATAAGTCCTGCTTTGTTCTACAGATAACTTGATCCCTCCAATAGCAAAAGAATATAGTTAACTGTTGTGTAATAAGAGTTAAATAAGCTCAAGAACTAAATAAAATAAAGCTAAGTAGTAATTGATGAGCAAGTTATTCAATAAATACTTTATGATCTTGATATGAATGGCGATAGTTTACTTGAAGAGTCAGAGTTTTTTGAAGCAATAAGATAATCTAGATAACAATAATCTAATAGCCTTTTTTAAGATGAAAATTCTATGTAATCTTAGCAACTTATTGCAATAGAGCATATTGAAAGACTTGAATTGCTACCAACTAAGCAAAATTTGCTAAAGATTCTAAATTTGGCATAAGAAAAAAAAGATGAGGAAGATACTTCTAGATCTGAATAGTTCTAAAGTGTAATATTAACCTAGGACATCATAAAAATTTTTAATGAGATAGAGCTATTAACTAGCATAAAGAGTTGCCTAAGCCAAATCTAAATTAATTCCAAGATGAATATCAAATTGAGGGATCTTTCATAAAAATTAAAGGATAATCAAGTTACCATAAGACAGCTGGTTGAGCTTTACAAAGTGATTGATACTTAATACTTAGGGCAGATGAATGTAATTAGTTTGGTTTAATTGCTAAATGATTACTCATTTACAATAAAGAAACCACTTTAATGTAATGTGGAATTCAGAATAATATGTAAATTGATAAATATATTTCCTCATTCACTTGGTGATGTTTAAGAGTATTTTTCAAGAAATTCAACAGAAGAAAAAATTGGTTCTGGTGATACACCTTTAGTCAAAGATATCTTGGACAAAGAATTCTAAAGATTATTTAGATTTTAAACATAAGTTAATGACTATATTTATGAGATAATTAATAACAAGTTCAAATTTGGTCTAGATATGCTTTTGGTAAAACACATGTATATCTACATTTAATAAATTTATAATGACCTCTATCCAAATGAAAAAAACTATCAAACTACTATGAAGGATAAATAGGCTTTGGTACTTTAGGACCAAAATAGAGATTCTGCAGTGATCAGCAGCTCCAATAAACTCTTATCAAGCATCTAAGTGGCCAAACTTGAAGATTAAAAGTAGTTACTTCTTAGAAAACTGATAATTAAGAGTCTTGGACAGGAATCTGGACCATAATATATAAGAATTCTAATGGCTAAATATGGGTTCCCTGTTGATAAAGCTGAATTAACAGAGACTCAGTTTGATAAGATATTTTCATACGATACAAAACTTCTAACTTTGGAAGAATCATAGCTGCTTTTTCAATCCCTTCATTAAATGTTCGGAGTGTAATTATTCGATCTCTCTAAGAACAAAAAACTGGCAAAGAAAATAAAGTCCTTCGATTTCTGTGATTTCATTAACAAATTAGAGGCATAGCTGACATAGCGAGAAATGAAAATTATAACATATGCAATGGAATAAACCAAGGATACTATTCTATTTGTCATTTACAATAACATATAATTTATTAAAGAAGGTAATCCCTCAAATCATTAACTAATGTAATTTTAGGTTTGATAAGTAAGTAATAGTTGGCAAGACTATTGATTGATAAGTACTGTGAAAATGAAGAGACTGCAATTCAGGACTTTGAAATTAGATTCATTTTGAATATGATTGACTAAAATAATAATAACTTTCTAGAAATTGATGAAGTTTAACACTACCTAAAGCTATATACAACTGAAAAAAGGGTAAAACTACAGGCATAATAATAATCTTTAAATTATAGATAAGTTACCAGATTTACCTGAAATATTTTGCTTTCAAAATTGATATCTCTCATAAAAGAATCCCTACATATGATGCAATAAAGTATGATCCTTAGGAATTATCCAAATAGACCCCTGATGTCTAATAGCAATTCGTCTTATTCATTAAGAAGTACTTTGAAAATACTCAGAAGGCTGAATTGCTAGTTGATTTATATGAATATTGTGCCTAGTAAATTTAGAGTTAAAATCTTCATAATGTCATATCTTATCTCTACTCTCAAATTGATACATATAGAGTTACTATAACTCAAGCCCAGAAATACACAATTAGATAAAATGTCCAAATAAGAAATGAAATTATCAAAGACCTTTTGAGGCAAAGAAAAAATTTCCCACTCTATAAGATAATGGATGATCTTTAATTTACACCTGAAAATGGGGGTATTATACCTTTTCTGACAGTTTTTAATCATCTTAAGAAGCTATATCCCTATGCAGATGAGAGCAAACTTTAAATTTTCGTCAAATTTATCGACATAAATAATGATTAGAAGATTGAAATCTCAGAGATATTTAAATTCATGAACGAGATATACGGAGATGAAATCACTTACGAGATTTTAATCTAACGAATAGCTTTGATCATTTACTCAACTAAGGAGACTGTAGAGAACTTCTTCTTTTTGCATTAGATAAATCTTCAAAAAATATAGTACATCATGGATTTTAGTCAGTTTGTTCAGGCAATTTCCTAGCTATTTAAGATTAGCAAGTATGAGTCTTATATGATATATGAGACATTAAGAATACCTGACACGCAAACATTAGACTTTAGAGCATTTATTGATAGTGTAAAAGGCTAAATTAGAATTCTAGAGGCTAAAGAATAAGATACAGATGAAGTAGCTTAGAAATTAGAGGACAGAATAAAAACAAGTAAGGACAAAATTTCAGAAGCATTAAAAACTAAATTTAAACTTATGCAAAAGAAAGAGTTAGAGGCATCAGGTTAGAAAGATGAAAAGGATAAGGACGAATAGGACCCTGAAAATAAATTTAAGAGATCAACTAAATTAACGAATGTTGAGATTCTAAAGCTTTTCATAGATAATTATAAAGATCTAAATAATCTCAGTTTGATTTAGAAAGCTTGTCTAAACTTGCAAGCACTTTTCAAATAATCTTCTGTAATTCGAGCTTCACTTCTGACTAAGAGAGTCTGCCAAATTTAGGTGTTATTTTATGAGATGGGAAGATAAGATCTCTGGACTGAGTAAGATGCTCAGCTATTAAAAGGAAATTCTCAGAAAATAATAATAAAAGAGTAAGAAAAAATTATACTTAGCATAATGGCAATGGAAAATGTAACTCGAGCATATGAATGCAATATATATACCTTCTAAAACATGATCAAAAGAATTAATGAAAGAAGTGTAGTAAACTTCGAAATGCTACGCAAGATACTCGAGTAGAGATATAAACAAATCAGTGATATGATATATGAAGGTAAAGCAATAAAATTATCTTAAATTTATGATTAGATTTTCTGTCAATATAAACTATTGTGGAGAGAATTAGAGCTTAAGTTAGCTAGTATGAAGTACAACCAGAGCTATAATTCGGTGAAAGAGTTTCAATTTTTGAACTGATGAATGTCCTTTAGCAAGTCTATAATATAGTCATAAGATCCAAAGAGGAACAGTAAGTTAATAATTATTATTAATTTCATTTAAGATTGATAAGAATAGAACTTCAACTGTAAAAGGATAAAAACTTTGTTTAATTTTCAATACTGAAGTTATTCTTAGTGTAGTGCGGCATATAAGTCAAACTCAAGGATCAGATATATTTCATATTTGATACTCTGGAATAAGCAATTATTGGTATCAAGACAATTAGAGAATATCTTAGAAAGCACCCTTATATAGATATTAACCAAATGATGATAAGAACCATAGATTTTCACCCAGTAAATTGGCTTGATATTTAAAAACTAAGTAGTAAGAGTCCTCCATCAGGTCTTTGTCCTGTACATTCAAATATAATAATAAAAGATTGCATCTTACAAATGAAGGCTGATTAAATAGACAAGAGGGATCACATCACTGAGTTATTAGTACATGATGAAAATAATTTACCACCAAATGAAGTTCCTTTTGTTGTAGTTAAACTTTTTAACTAGTATGTGATCTGTGATAGACTTTTGCCTTTTTAAAGTAAAGAGAACAATCTCATACCTCTGTTTACTTATGATGCTAAGGAATTTGCAATGTCCTTTATAGAAAAGGCTTTAGCTGTAATGGTCAATGGTTATGAATAACTGAAGATTTTACCAAATATTTAAAGAATGTTACTACACCTAAACTATATGTATCTAGATACCTATACAATTACTGATAAAGTATAGTCTTTTAAGGAAAGTTATTAGGATCTTTATGATAATTATTTCTTGAAAAATGTGATGAGACATATTTACTTCAAGTTTCCGATTTCAAAGAAGAAGTAGCATGTAAATCCATTAACTCTAGGATTGGAGCCGGGTAGAGTATATTCTATAATAGCCTTTATTTGTTTGAAAGTTGATGAAAAGATCTAGCATAACCTAATTGTAATCTATAATCCTTACATAAGTGAAGACCTAAGGAAAAATGGGGAAATATGGAGCAAGGCATATCTGTTAAATGCAAAGAAAAATAAAAAGATAATTGAAATGATATAATCCTAATATGATCTTTCAGTTTACTAATTCATCTCTGACAAGGAAAATAATGCTTATACTTATGACTTTAAAGATGTTTTGTAAGATTTATATCAAAATAAAAAATATTATTAGTGAAATTGCAGAGGGTAATGATCTGGAGTTGCAAATTTATTATAATCTTTAAGACTAAGAAGATGTTAAATATGAATAAATAGATCTAGATTATGACTATTCTGTGGCAAAAAACTAGCTATTATTAAGATAAGATAAAAATAAGACTGAGAAGGCATTTGGTTTAATTTATATTGATTTAAGGGGACATCAGAATGATAAATTTTTACTTGCAATCAAACAAAGCCCAGCGTATTTTTTAATTTCTTATTATCATCTACTTTAGTGAATAAAGAATTTTTGAAATAGATCCTAAAGTTTATGGTGAAACTTTTATCAAGACATTTTTTGTTTATGATGGTAATAACTGTCTAATCGATCTCTAAATAAAGTATTATTTTATTTTCATTATAATTTGAGTAGACCCTCTGAATAGTTGTAAAACAATGTTGAAGTTGAGGTGAAGATTTATTTTTAACAAGAATATCCTTTCATAATAGAACTCAATGAGATTAGGAATGATTCTAAAGTTAAATCTAAGATAATCAAAAACACTCTCTCTTAAGAGATTAAAGTTGATTCACCATCTAGATAAAAATCTTCTGTCTCCGATGAGTAGTAAGATCCATTTGAGGAATTTAAAGTGGCTGGTACGGAAGCTATTCGAGGGGAGGAAATTAAGACATAAGAAGAAGAATATGAATATTATGGAGAAGAAGATGAGGTAGAAAACGTTTAAAATAAGCATGATGAGAGCAAGTTTATAAAAAACGTAGCTAAATTACAGGTGCAGTAAACCCAGCAATAATCTGCAGGAAAATAAGACTTAATATAAGTTCAAGATGCAAAGGTTAAGAAAAATTAGAGTTAAAGAATTTTAGATGACATTATCTAGCCAGATGTTTAAGTTGAAGAAATTAAGTAGTCCTAATCAATTCTCGGAGGTAGTCAAAAAGAACTGAGACCAGAGAGTGGAAGTCAAGTGAGTTAGCATTCTAGTCGCACCAGTAGAATAAGTCAAAGATCTCTGTTTTAAAATTCTATTAAAGAAGAAGTAGAAGAAGAAGACTATGAAGATGAGCAAATTGATAGGCATTAGAGAAGAAAGAAAAAAGAAATTTAATTTGAGGAAAAGACTATTCCTTAAAGTGAAGAGAAAAACATTAAGAATTCGAGTGTTATTCAAAATCAGAACTCTTTATCTGAGCAAAATTTGGATAAGACTATTGACATTATTTAGGAAAAGGGAGGCATATCCGAGATCAAGAATAACATTACTTTAAAAGCTGAGAAAGTAGATTAGAAATCTAAAATAATTCCTTAATTCAATAATAATGAAGACAAACCAGAAGAGATCATTGAAGAGGAAGTTATAGATGAGTGAGGGGAATTTCAACTTAGAGCTTTTTGTTAAATAAAACCTGAAACAGAATTAGTTTTAAAGAAAATAAACAACAATTTTATCTAACCTTAATTTCATAAATCATCATTTTAATCACAATAATTTTCATCGTATTCCGTACTTTCTTCTTCTAAGCTATATGCAATTTGAATTCATCTATCTTTCTCCCATTTGATCTTGACTTCATCAAATTCCAAAGCTTTAATTATCATTATATCATTAATCTACTACTGCTAATTTACACTCTTCTAGAATACGCTAGTTGGCTGATAGAGTATATCAAGAAGCGTCTAATTCATTTCTGGTATGTTTTTCTTCACCTTTTTTGAAAATTTCCTAAATTACAATTCTTTATAAGCACTCTTATCAACTGAGGGATCGTTTGAAGGTCGCTGCAATTACTAATTAGCTGATGATAAAGATGGATTCAAGGAGGTGTTAATAATAAAACTTTCCATGTTATACTTAATTATTATATTCTTATTGAGTTTTAAAATTGATAAACTATTTAACTTCTTTAAAAATAGACTTAATAAATAGATTATTATAGGCTAACTACATGCAATCAGATAAGTGTATTAATTATTGATGACAATCAATACTAATATTCATTGTAAGAGTTTGGATAGATTTAAACATCATCACAGAATTTAATTACTCAGTGATTGATGGTTTAGTATCTGTAAGATATGCCTCCTCCCATTACTTAATGTTTCTAGTTAGAACTGGTACTCAAAGTTGCCATACCACTAACACTAGCACTACCTATTTGGCTATTAATTGATCCATTGACAAATTAGTGATTATGATGCTGTTGAGATCCTCTATGAGTCTGTTAATTATGATGGCTTCCAGGACCAGTTTTGAAATTGTTCTGATTGGCATTATACTGAGACATATGTCTGCTTTGACCTGCAGAGTATACATTATTATTCATTCCCCTCAAGTTACTATTCAAATTTACATTCATTCTTCCTTCTTAAATATAATTTTGATCGGTCATATAGTTGTTCACATCTATAGTCCTCTTTGCCAAAGTACTTGAAAGAGAGTCATATTATAGTCTCTCTGTTTGCAAGTCTCTATTAGAAGGATTATTTTGGTAGTGCTTTAGACTCACTAATTCAGCACCTGGTCCTTTTACTATATTACCTCTCTGTGACTGTAAGACTTAGAATTCACTTTGCTTACTCTGAGCAAGTGAACTTATCAGGGTATCTGGCTATTAAGTCTTTTCTAATGTTCTAAGTCCGCTTCTGTCTGAAGTCACAGTACTATAAATCTTATCAGTGGTTGGAGTTTTTTAATTTTTATTGTCATTTTTGTTTATCATCTATATCAGTATTTCCTTCGAGTATTATAGTCTCTTATACATGCTGGGATCTTTACTTTCAAGATCGCTACTAAGAGGTAGTTTCTTTATTTATTTCTTAGAACTAACAAATGTAACAATGCCGTTACCACTGCATAAGATTAGTTCTGATAGATCTTAAAAGATAACTTAGATAATCTTATTGCTCAGTCTAAAGAGGATTGCTTTTTTAGCTCTCTTCCATTTCTTCAGATAACTAGGCTAAGCGGCATTTAATCTTTAAGGTGGGTTGGTAGCATCAAATTTGAATTCTAAAGGTTTAAATTTTTGATTCCCGTCAAGATAACTCTTAAAATGCTGTAAGAGTATAACTTTCTTGTTCAATTGCTTGGGGTAATTAAAAAAGTTCAAACACTAGACATCTTCATCTTGGCCATTTGCACTTCTTTGGATGTAATCAAAATGAAAATGATTAGCATCCAAGACAATCTTGGTTGAATCATTGAATAATACACCATACTAGCCATTCGATAGTTTGTAGCCCATGCCATACTTGCTTGAGAAATCTACATATTAAACTATTAATTCACATCTTTATTGGAGTTTGTCGCAAGATACTAAGCTTTCAATGGGAAAATGGGCTGCATTTGTTATCTCAATTTTAGCTATTTACTCAATATCTTTTTTATCATCTTTACCGTTATTTTTGAACTGATTGTTTAGTTCATTGTGCTATTCTTCATTATTAGAACTGGTCAAATAATTATTTTCTTTATCAATTATTCTTTTAGAACTTGTCTGATGGTTTAGATTAGGACTTGGTGAGTATGAGCTTTTCTATTCAGTCTTGTAATTATTGTTGCTTTGTACAGTATTTGTGGAAAGTCTCTTTTCATTATTATTTCTAGGTGTTGAGTTCATACCTGTGCAACTAGGGAAAAGTAGCTTATCATTTTGAAATGGAGAGGATGTTGGTCTACCTGTGGGCTAAACTGGAGTATGCTACTACTCAGCTCTATTGGATTTATTAAATTGAAATTCATTATTTCTAGGACTTTAATTAGTAAAGTTATTATTATTGACTGGGGTTATTTACTATGAAAGTAGATTGTAAGTAGGTTATCTTAGTTATTCCCTTTGAGTTTTACACTACTCTTCCTAAATAGTTTAATATCCTGAGATACCAATAGCATCTCTCGTTGTAGCAAGCAAACCGTTATTCAAATCAGGCATATTCATAGCTCTCTACGTTTCTTTTCCACTAGCAATTCCTCTTTGAGTATTTTAAGTCAATGCTAAATTAGTAGGGGATCTTGCAGATTGAATTGAGTTGAAACCTCCTAGTGCAGCAGCTGTTTAGTTAAATTACAAGTTGTTGAGCTCACCATTTGGCTGAAATTATTTACTAAAAGTAGTTGAGGGTGGACAGACTAAGGTAGAAATTGGCATAAGTTCAGGAATCTTATTCATTGTCATAAAATCATGAGCGAGCATTTCTTTGAGGTTCATTCTTTATGAGGGATCAGTCCTTAGTAATTATCTGACAAAATCCTTTGCCTGCTCTGAGATGGGAATATTTTCTGGGAAGGAGTACTAATTTGCCTTGATTTTTTTGTAAGTCTATTTAACTTCTGGGGATTCAAAGGGTGGTCTACCGACTAGCAGGGTGTACAAAATAACACCTATAGACCAGTAATCAACCTCATAGGAATGTCCAATTTTTGCATCAAGGATTTCTGGCGCTATGTAATTTGGTGTTCCACATATTGTCCTTTTCTTTTCTCCCTCAAATACGACTTTAGCAGCTAATCCAAAATCTCCCACCTTCAATTGCATTCTGTCAGATAAGAATAAATTTCCAAGTTTGAGACTATATTGTCAATATTTAAGAACACTATGATGTACTTACTCTCTGTGAATAACTCTAAATTTGTGCAGATATTCGCATGCCCTAATAAGTTATAAAAGATAGCTCTGAGCTTCTAATTCAGTGAGTCTCTTGCGCCTTCTGACTAATTCATTAAGAGATTAGTTTTAGCAGATCTCTAGAAGTATGTAAACATTTTCCTTGTCCTCGAAATACCTGTCAAATTACACAACATAGTCATTTGATAGTGATTTATGTATCTTGATCTCACTTGTCAACTGTCAAATTTTAATGCGATTTTATTTACTTTTTATCTTGCCTTGGTTCTTGTAAGACTGGCTTTTGGAACTACTTTGACTGCGAACACCCTATTCTTTTACTGTACATTGATAGGATCCACATATCTAAGCTCATAGCATTTAGCAAATCCACCCTAAAATTATTATATCCAAATATTTTTTTACTTTGCCTAAAAATCTACCTTTGAGGTATTTGATTATTGTCTCCTCTCCATTTTATCCTATTATCTTCTCTTCAATAATCTATGAAGTTATATTAAACTTGAATTTTACTGTCGGCATTGTCGATTAGTTTTAAGGATCAATGTTCTAATCAGTAGTGGCAGTTAATGGTCTATGATTCTCCTCAGGATTGAGAGTCTATATTTGATGTCCAGGAATGCCTTAATTTATCTATTGATTTAGCATCATCTTGACTTTAATTTTAATTCGTTATTTTATATTTGTAATATTACCGTTTATTTTATCACCTGGGGTTTTGGGGTTTTGGGGTTTTGGGGTTTTCGTTTTTAAGTATTTTGCCTCT